CCTGCTTTCAACTTAATTTTTGCTTCATTTAGTGATAATTTTTTTGTGATTTAAATTTACCCAAGTACTCTTTATTCAATTACGATTCTTCTGACTTTTACATATCTCAATTTGATCAATTAAATCATCTGTAATCACTTACGTAAGAATCACCGGGCAAAACTCTACTTCTACTTGATTGGCGTTCGTTGGGTGCTGACGTCATCCTGACATTCGCACCCTTATTTCCCTTTTTTGTGATTTTTAAATATATTTCATTTTTATTTATTAGTATAAAATTCAAAAAAAATCTGTATTCTATGTGGAAAATTCTAAAAAATTACCAGATATTATATTACATCCCTATGATTGACCTAGAAAATTCCCACTATTTTTGGAATTTTTTTAAAAATTATAATTGATATATTTATTTAGAAATACTTCTAAATATTAAAAAATTGGTATTTTGTAGTTTTATAAATTTTAAATTTGCATAATTTACTATGCAACGACTAAGTCACGTCAGCAGATTATTATTTTGTATAATGGAAGTTGCAGAGACCACTGTTGAATGTGATGAGGACGATCCTGATGCCACAAGGGCAATAATTGGTATAATATAGACTCTCTTCTCTCTCCCTATCTAAAAAATTATTTTTTATTTTGTTGTAATTTTAGGATAGAAGGTAGAAGAAATATAAGAGACTGACAACTCTCTTGTTTTAAAGCTTTCTGCTTTTATCAATCCATGGTTATTTTGTTCTGATGAAAGATCTGTTAAGGCTTCATTCCCCTGTAAAATAGTGCCAATTAGTTTCTTTTTGTGCTATTGACTGTTGCAGATAGTTTTTCATCGCATCTGATAAATGATGGTCAACAGCTAATAGAGATTTATCAGTGATGTGATTTAATAAATGTTGACCTACACGTTATCAACTATTATTTTTCCTACTCTTCGTGTAGATCTTATCAGTTTTACCATCATGAAGTTTTGGATTTCTTTGGCATGGGTTCTTCATTGTCTATCTCAATTAATTATAGGCGTCTTTCCATTACAAGTTTTTTCTGGTAATGGGTGTCTTGAAAGACTAGCCAGTCAACTTTAGTGGAAAAAGGCAAACTTTTATTCCTTAACACCCCATGTACTTACTGATTTGGCTCAACCATTTTTCCCAGATTCATGGAAGGTGAGACCACATTATTCTGTGAGATCACAGTGCGTCAATCACCTCCCATATTGTTCTCTCCTAATTTTCATCTTGCCCGGATGTCTCAGCTAATTTTTTGGAGCCCTGGTTAATTTTCCATATCACTGTTTCTATTCCTAACAGTTGAACTAGCTGAAATATGCCTTTCTTTGTTTGAATTTTAATCAATTCTAGCGCAGATTTAACTTGTGGCACAAACATTATGTTTAAAACTGCTCATTGAATGTAACCAAGGTATTGGTATTCGGAGGGGGTTCCTTAGCACTTAGCCGCAATTTACTGGATGAAGTTTCTTTGTTTCATACTATTCACTTGTTTCACAGTAAAATGAATTTTGATTTTTTTTGTAATTTTTTTTTAACTTTTATGAAAACTAGCCTTGCCACTTTCTCCTATTTTTCGCCTAGAGGGAACAAGTAGTACGACATGCAGCAACATGTCAGGTGTGACGGAGGCCAGATTCTGCAGGTTCATCAAGCTCGGCAAGCTCATCTGTTTCAGCCGTTCTGGTTGCAAGGTACCTACTTTTTTTTTTCATGACTTTTGAAAATTGCCTGAAATTTTTGTTCTTATAATTACTTTCAGAAATCTGTAGCCGTTTTTTTTTTGTTTTAAATATCAACTCTGTACTTTGTTCTCGTTTTCTGTTCAATAAACTAATCTGGTAGATTACGTTGTAAAGCAGTAAAAGTCGCAGTTGATCAGTACTCTATCAATCTTGCAATATTGGAATCGCTTTGTTTCACCAACATTTTTGTCCTCAGCACCCAGTTTACTTTATTTAGTAGCACTCGACCAGCTATTTGGGGCTCTGTTATTTCACCCTACACTTGTTCATGTCGTCTTTGAGCTGGAGTCACGGAATGTGCTGCTTTTTTATCACATATGGGTTAAAGTAAATATCTGCTAGCTTACCTATTCATCCACACCATTTTTCTTAATTCCAAATAGATTATAAAATAGACAGGATATGGGATCAATGCTTCAATATTGTGGTTTTTAAACCTGAGGGGTTGACTAAAATTTTGGTTTGATGTGAATGGTCAAATTATAGCAGATTACTATCAAACCGAATTTCTTTCCACTTGCTCTGAGTTAAATCAAGGTTGTTGGTAATGCTGCCTTGCAAACTTACAAATCAGGTAATGATTTTTGGCCAGTGAATGGTGGAATTCCTTTGCTTTTTCTTTCAAGAACTGAGAGCTTGGCCTTTGTGCTTTAGAAACTGTTCCTGACCCCAGAATAAATATTCTGAGCTACATCAAGGTGGTTTTCCTTCTCTTTCGTTGTTTTACTGTGGAATGTTTTTTCTCACTCATTAATTTGCCTTGAAATTCTCATCTCTTGGGATGGCCACGTAAGCTGATGATATCAACCCACAGTTTTTTATGAATTGAATAAAAATTAAAATTAAAATTCTCATAAATATACATTTTCTTTTTTTGATTTTTTTTTAATAACAGTACAAAAGGAAGGAGGGGATCTTTCGAAATATTCGTCTCATACCTACTAAAAATCAGGTGGATTACTCTTGGCAGCACTTGGAGGGCAACCACAGACGAGTCAGGTGGACGACTCTTAGCAGCACACACCCGGGCACCCGTTTCTCTCTGTTCTCTATTCTATCACTCTCTCTCTCTCTCTCTCTCTCTCTCTCTCCCTCTGTTTGTCTGTCTGTCTGTCTGTCTCCCTCTCCCTCTCTCCCTCTCTCTCTCTCTCTCTCTCTCTCTCTCTCTCTCTCTCTCTCTCTCTCTCTCTCTCTCTCTCTCTGTGATGTATACGCTCAACTTAGGAAAGAACGGTCAATGAAGCACGAGAGAGAGAAGAGGATTGTCCACCCAGAGAGATATTCTGCGGGCAAGGTGAGCTAGTTTATGAATTTCAAAATCTATGACAGATGACTTGGTCAGCCTGACACATACTTTACTCTGTCCACTTCTTCCTCTCTCTGTCTCTCTGTCTGTCTCTCTCTCTTAATATGGGGGAAAGAGGTCTCAAGTGGGTTTACTCCCCTCGACAGACGTTCACCAGCGGCATCCTCTTCTCTCTCTCCTCTAGCCCGGAGGAGCCACCGTCCTGTTCTTCGGGCATGGCAAAATGGATATTCGCTGAGATTGTTACAGAAGCTGCAGTAGTAAGGCTGATAGATGGCGTCCCTTTCCTTAGTGGGCAGAGGCGTGGCGTGGATCATGAATAAGCGTGCCTTAAGAGAAGATCCCATCCGGCAGGTGCCCCGTCACCATCGCGGATCTGGTGAAGAGGGTCAACAACAACTTTCATGACATTGGAGCCGCTCAAAGAGTCCAGTATGTTATATTCCAATGCTAACTAACCCAACCCAATGAACTTAGAGAATAGAATACATGATCAATACGTGTGAGACAAGTTAATTGTCTTTCAAATAGAATTGGAACATTGAAGGAGTGGCCACCTGGTGGGGGAGGGCTAGAGAGAGAGAAATAGAGAGGAGGGGATATATAGCTAGCAATGTTCCCTACCATAAGAACGGGATGGTAATATAGAGAGAGAGAGAGGGGGGATGAGAAGGAGAGAGATACTACTGTAGATTGGTAATAAAAGTAAGTTCTTGGCTGTTGGCAAGCGTTAATATGAACGTGCTAGTTTGAGTCAAGTTGGGCGATTATTATTGAGGCCCGAAATTAGTGAACTTGTGGAAGCCGTTGACACCGTTAATGGCGGCGCACTGCTAGTAACATCCGTAACGGAGACAACGGTGAGTTAGGTCCTACTTGCCACGTGTGCGGCCTGCGTTGTGTTGTCCAGCTGGGAAGTACGACCCCACAGGTATGGTCGTAATCGTTGACGGTGGTGGCGGCTGCCGCTCAGATGACGGCGGACAATTGGGGAATCTCTCGGCAGCCGGAGGATGAGTGGCAGAGGCTTCTCCCCGCGTTATCTTCTTTTCCACGTTATCTCTACGTCAGCGTCGACTCTCTCTCTCTCTCTCTCTCTCTCTCTCTCTCTCTCTCTGTCTGTGTGTTCTATGATTGGGTTTGACCTGGAGAGTATCTCAAGTGGGTTACCCTTACTCTCGTCCATAGGCATACACCAGAGGCATCCATTTCCCTCTTACTCTCTTTCTCAGCCTATCTTTCTCTCCTCTAAACCGCAGGAGCCACCGCCCCGTTCTTCTGGCATGGCGATAGCCGGATGTCTCACGGGAATAGGCCTAGGTTTAGGGGATCCTCTCATTCCTACTAGGGAGAGGTGTGGAGTGGCTCAGGGATCTCGTCCCGTGCTTCAGAGAAGACCCCGTCCGGCCGGTCCGCGTCTCCACTGCGGATCTGGTCGGAGTGGAGCAAATCGAGGGCTATATGAGGCAGATCAGGGATTTCCTTTCTCTGCGTTTGCTTCTCTCTTCCTCGATTCCTCTCTCTTTCTATCCAAGTAAATATCTTAGCCAAATGTTTGTTATTAAATCTACGTGGCCAGGTCAAAGCTGAAAACTAACGGACGTCAATCAGCTGGCACCAGCTCCCCAGGCCATAATGTTCGCGACGAAATCTAACGGAGAGTCAATCATCGGACCGCCCGCTTGTAGAAAGAGAGAGAGATGTATCCACCCTTTCATCCATCTTGCAAAAATAGAAGAGAGAGGAGCGTCAGCATCGACTCTCTCTCTCTCTCTCTCTCTCTCGCTCTCACTCTCTATTAATATGTGCGAAAGAGAACTCAAGCGGGTGACTCTCCTCCACAGACATGCATCAGCGGCCTCCTCTTCTCTGTCTGCCCGTCTGTCTGTCTGTCTGTCTCTCCTCTTACCCGGAGGAGCCACCGTCCTGTTCTTCAGGCATGGCCGAACAAACACTTTTAAATATCGTTCGGGAAGCTGTAGTAGGAAAGGTGGTAAACGATGTCATCCCTGGACTACTGAGCAGAGGCATGGAGTGGTTCAGGAATCTCCCTGCCTTAAGAGAAGACCCCGTCCGGGCGGTCCTCATCTCCACTGCGGATCTGGTCGGAGTGGAGAAAATCGATGGCTATGTGAGGCAGATCAGGGATTTCCTTGACGACGATACTGTGAGAATCCTGGGGATTCACGGAATGGGTGGTGTCGGGAAGACCACCCTCCTCCAGAAGGTCAAAAACAACTTTCATGATATTGGAGCCGCTCAACGATTCAACCATGTTATATTTGTCACCGTGTCTCGTGCTCCCGAAATCCTCACGATCCAGGAGCAGATCGTAAAGCAGCTTGATATAAAGTCAACGTCTTCAACGGAATACGGTACGGACATCTCCCAATTTTTATTAAATAAAAGGTTCTTACTATTGTTAGATGATGTATGGGAAGAGTTGAATTTGCACGATGTGGGAGTTCCTACTCCTTGTGCTGAGAACAAGTGCAAGATCATTTTGACGAGCCGATCTAAATCGGTGTGCTGTAAAATGGGCACTCCTAGAAAGTTATTGGAAGTGGAGCCCTTGAGCGAATCGGAGGCATGGATCCTCTTCAAAAAGAACGTGGGTGGTGATGTAGATCTCGATCAACGTGATCAGGAAATATGTAGGCACGCAAAGGCTGTGGCAAAGAAATGTGGTGGCCTCCCGCTTGCCCTAAAAATCGTTGGTTGTACTATGGCAAATGCTTCCTCAGTTGGAGAGTGGCGGGAAGCTGAAAGGAATCTAACTCGGTCTCCCCATTTAGTGGAAGACATGAAAGAAAAGGTATTGTCTTTGTTAGAATTCAGCTTTGATAGACTACCAAATGATAACACGAAACAGTGCCTCCTTTATTGTTGCTTGTTCAAGGAAGATAAGAACATCTCTATAACTGAATTGATTCACTATTGGATTGGAGAGGGATTCCTTGACAGTGAATACTCTAAAAGCACGAGTGAAGCAGAAGATAGGGGAAAAACAATCATCAGTAGCCTCATTTCAGCTAGCTTGTTACAGAAGGGAGATAAAGTTGACAATTTTTCTTCACGTGATTTGTTGGGTGTGGATGATTCAGACAAGTATGTGAAGGTACATGATGTGGTGCGGGAGATGTGTTTGTGGCTGACATCAAGTGAGTCTGACAAGTATGGAAAATTTCTTCTACATCCAGGAATGAATATTGATATTATTTCAGATTTAGAAAGGTGGAATGATGTAAGAAGAGTATCATTGTGTGACTTAGTGACTTGTCAGGAATTTTTACACCAAAATGAGGCAGAAATATGTCCAAACTTGGTGACACTATTATTAAATCATGTTCGCTTTGGAGAATTGTCAATTCCAACATGTTTTTTACGAAAGACAAAATCTCTTCGAGTCATGGCATTAAAATCTTGTAATTTGACAAATATTTTGGAGGATATAAGCTCATTGCAAGAATTGAGATATTTAGATTTATCTAACTCAGAAGTTCAAAGCCTTCCAAATGTAATCAACTTATGTACAAGCTTACAATATTTGAATATATCAAAAATTGGATTACAAAGTCTTCCTAACATGGTTGATAAACTTGAGAAACTATATTATTTGAATGTGTCACAAAATATGTTAGAAAGCCTTCCAGATTCAATCAGTGCTCTTATTAAATTAAGATATTTTGATGCATCATATACAAGGTTAACAACACTTCCAAGTACCATCGGATCACTTGTAGAGTTAGAATATCTTGATTTGCAGTGTATACCATTACAAAAGCTTCCAGAAACAATTTGTGGCCTTGTGAATTTGAAAGATTTAAATATGTCAAAGACAAAATTACAAAACCTTTCAAATAATATTGGATCACTTGTGGAGTTAAAATATCTTGATTTGAAGAGTACAGAGTTACAAAAGCTTCCAAATTCAATCGGTGACCTTGTGAATTTGAAATATTTAAATATGTCACATACAAAATTACAAAACCTCCCAAATAGCATTGGATCACTTGGGGAGTTAGAATATCTTGATTTGGAGAGTACAGAATTACAAAAGCTTCCAGATTCAATTGGTGGCCTTGTGAAATTGAAATATTTAAAAATGTCAAAGACAAAATTACAAAATCTTCCAAATAGCATTGGATCACTTGTGCAGTTAAAACATCTTTATTTGGGGTATACAGAATTACAAAAGCTTCCAGACTCAATTGGTGGCCTCATGAATTTGAAATATTTATATATGTCACACTCAAAATTACAAAATCTTCCAAATAGTATCGGATCACTTGTGCAGTTAAAACATCTTTATTTGGAGTATACAGAATTACAAAAGCTTCCAGACTCAATTGGTGGCCTCATGAATTTGAAATATTTATATATGTCACACTCAAAATTACAAAACCTTTCCAATAGCATTGGATCACTTGTGGAGTTGGAATATCTTGATTTGGAGTGCACAGAATTACAAAAGCTTCCAGATTCAATCGGTGCCCTTGTGAATTTGAAATATTTAGACATGCCACATACAAAATTACAAAATCTTCCAAATAGTATTGGATCACTTGTGCAGTTGATATATCTTGATTTGAAGAGTACAAAATTACAAAAGCTTCCAGATTCAATTGGTGGCCTTGTGAATTTAAAACAGTTATATGTGTTACACACAAAATTGCAAAAGCTTCCAAATAGTATCGGATCACTTGTGCAGCTAGAATATCTTGATTTGGAGTGTACAGAATTACAAAAGCTTCCAGATTCAATTGGTGGCCTTATAAATTTGAAATATTTATATATGTCACAGACAAAATTACAAAACCTTCCAAATAGCATCGGATCACTTGTGCAATTAGAATATCTTGATTTGAAGAGTACAAAATTAGAAAAGCTTCCATATTCAATCAGTGGCCTTGTGAATTTGAAATATTTAGACATGTCACATACAAAATTACAAAACCTTCCAAATAGCATCGGATCACTTGTGGAGTTAGAATATCTTGATTTGAAGAGTACAGAATTACAAAAGCTTCCAGATTCAATCGGTAGTCTTGTGAATTTGAAATATTTAAAGATGTCACATACAAAATTACAAAATCTTCCAAATAGCATTGGATCACTTGTGGAGTTAGAATATCTTGATTTAGAGAGTACAGAATTACAAAAGCTTCCAGATTCAATCGATGGCCTAGTGAATTTGAAAATGTTAAACGTGTCACACACAAAATTACAAAATCTTCCAAATAGCATTAGATCACTTGTGCAGTTCAAACATCTTGATTTGCAGTGTACATAATTACAGAAACTTCCATATTCAATCAGTGGACTTGTAAATTTGAAATATGTAAATAGGTCACATATAAAATTACAGAACTTTTCAAATAGCATCATATCACTTGGGCAGTTCAAACATCTTTTTTTACATTGTACATAACTACACTAGCTTCCAGGTTCAATCAGTGGTTATGTGAACTTGAAATATTCATATATGTCACAGAAAAAATTACAAAATCTTTGAAACAGTATCAGAGCACTTGTGGAGTAAGAATATTTTGATTTGGATAGTACAAAATTATAAAGGCTTCTAGATTCAGTTGGTGACCTTGTGAATTTGAGATATAAAATTACAAAACTTTCCAAATAGCATCGGATCACTCATGGAGTTACAACATCTCAATTTGAAAGGTAAAACATTACAAAATCTTTTAGATTCAATTGGTGCCCTTTTGAATTTGAGATATTTAAATGTGTTACACACAGAATTGTGGAACTTTTTAAATAACATCAGATTACTTCTGAAGTTACAATATCTTAGATTGGTGAGTACAAAATTACAAAATTTTCTACATTTAATCAGTGTTTTTGTGAATTAGAGAGAGTTAAATGTGTGAGAAATAAAGTTACAAAACCTTCGAAATAACATCAAATCACTTGTAAAGTTACAACATCTTCATTTGTAGAGTAAAAAAATACAAATATTTAATATTCAATTAGTGGCCTTATGAATTTGATAAAGTTAAATTTATGAGAAAGAAAATTAGAAGACCTTTCAGATTTAGTTGTTGTCCTAGATAAATTACAAGAGTTAAATGTGCTGGGTACAGAAATCAAAGTCATCCAAGTAATATTAGATGAGATGTGAAATGTAGTATGTATATTTAAATAATGTGTGTATCGAAGAATGAATTACAAAGAATTAGATGATGAGAGTAGTGCATGAGAAGATATTTAAGATGATGCACATGGCTTGCTTTTTTACTTTTAACGTGAAATATTTTTTCATTCATTATTATTTTTTATTTTTGGTTGAATATTTTACATTAGTCTTTAGAACAAAAAAAAAATCTGCAAGTTTTCTATTCTAGGCTTTGTTTGTGGAAAAAATCGTTGGTATTTGTCATTTTATACTGTGACATAAAAGTAATGTTTTTGTCCTACATCACTTCATAGGTGAAGCTGTAATTGACTTATATTTATTGAAATGCCATTCTCTTAAACTTTTGTTTCTTGGTTATCCTTTTTTTAATAGATTGATGTGATTTCCTCTTCATCCTTTGATAGCATCCTTGCTTCATCCATTAGAGGTTTATGAGGCAGAAGGTAAATGAAATACAAGAGACAGTCAACTCTCTTGTTTTAAAGAATTTTGTTTTTATCAACCATGGTTTATTTATTAGTTCTGATGAAGGATCTGTTAAGACTTCATATCCTAGTAAAACAGAACCAGTTAGCACTTCTTTTGTGCCATTGATTTTTGCAAATGGTGTCGCATCAGATCTAATAAATGTTGGTCAACAGTCAATAGATATCTATGAGTAATATCATCGAATAACTGTTGATCTTTACATTATCAACTGTCATTGCTCTTAGTTTTTGTGTTTTCATTTTCAATTTAATATCATCAGGCTATGGATTTCCTTGGCATGGTTTCTTATTGTTCATCTTCACCATTTATAGGCTTCCTTTAATTAAAAGTATCTTCTAGTAATGCTGCCTTGAAAGACTAGTCAACCAGCTTTAATGGAAATAGGCAAAGGGTTGTAAAGGGTAGAAACCATATGGGTAGATCAGCAGACTAGTGAGGTAACGTAGGCATGATCCATAGAAGTTCACTGTACTAATGTACATTTCCTTGTTATAATTTTAATTGTTCCTGGGGCCTAATGTCAACCTTGCTGTATCTGTTCCTGGGCCCAACTTCTTTACTTAATTGAAGAGAATTCTGGGCTTTTTTCAGGACTCTTCATTTGCCCTTTTAGAATGCTAGGTTTTCTTCCTCGTTCCCTAGTATGGCCTATCATTTTTGTGGATGCTTTGGTTGTATCAGTCAAGCTGTGTTGCGGATCGTATGTGGTTAAACAGATTTAGCTTGCAGCCTCTGGGTTTAAGAATGTAATGTAGTTTTTAATAGTAGCATGAATTTGTCTGATAAAATCATTATTTTGGCATCATCACTCCCGTCCATCCATTCACATTTTGGTTGGTGGCCAAGGATCTAGCTCACAAACAGTCTGATTTAAGATGGTTTACTGTTCTAGTACACTGGAAGGACTAATTTTCTGTAATAAGATGGGTGCTAACCCTTTCTTCTTCTTCTTCCCTGTAGAAATAAAATGCATTCCTCTGGAAGATCTTGCAGCAGAATTCAAGCTACGCACCCAGGCATTTATGGCAATCTCTTCCTTCATTGAACACTAGCTTTGGAGGTATGCCTCTTCGATTTTTATGCACCCTGAGGCCCGACAGAGTAGTAGCATTAATAATAGTTTCTGAAATTGGGAAATCATTATGCATGGAGATAAAAAGAAAGAATGTTGAGTGGAGTCATTCCTGGTGCTCCCCACTTTGATCCTCCACGTGGAGCCTTAGTGATATCACCAGATGAGAGCAACTGGTGGAGGGAACCGTTGGAGCAGACTAATCATGATGAGGAATAGTTCTATTTGTCACTTTAATTAAACATGAATAAAAAGCTGTATTTTATCAGTCATTTGTACAGTTCCGAAATCTTGATTTGTCAAGGGAAAAAATACATCAGTTGGTTGAGTACAAAAAAATAAATGAAGAGTGAGTTATAAGTAACTAAATATAGCGAAAATTCAATTTTGCTCATTATATTATTTATGAAAAATTAGAAATTTTCAACCGATTGAATAGGGCTCCTTTAGACTTGCTTGAAATCTACTTAATTAGGCTTCCTTGCTTCATACTATTCATTGTTCTCGCAATAAAACGGAAATAAAAATTTATTTCTGTGTAAATTTCACTTTTTTCTGGTGAGCTTCTGTTTTGGGTAATGGGAATAGTGCCAAGATTTTATGAAAACTGACCTCGTCGCTTTATCCTTTTTTTTGCCAGGAGGGAACAACTAGTAAGGCATGCTGCAACACGTTGGATGCAACAGAGGCTAGCTTCTGCAGGTTCATCATGGTCAGCAAGCTGACCTATTTCAGCAGCCCGATTGCAAGGTGTCTACTTTTCTTCTTGAACTTTTCAAGATTGTGGTTTTTTAAACCTGACTTGTTGAGTGAGAATGTTTTTTGCATGAGTTGTCAAAACATGACGGATTAGTGTCAAGAAAAACTTTTTCAATTTGCTCTGAATTGAATGAAGGCTTCTGTCTTGCAGTCTAAGTCCATGATGTGCCTCATTTGATCGACATTGTGCCCTATTCAGAACATGAGTTGGACATTTACGGATTAGAAAGTATTCATGACGCCACAAATAAATATTCTGAGCTACATTTCCTATACTGCCTCTACTTACCAGTCACAAATGGCTCGAATATGGAAATGTTCAATGGAGTGGTAAAATATTTGTTTATGAGCAAGAACTACTTCAGATTAAAAGCATCCTTGGACTACGTCAACCGGTGGCATTTACTGGACTGCATGGCGCATTTATTTTTATTTTAGTTTTTGTGGAGCTTTTTTATTGGGGCACACAATTTGGGTGGCCTTGTAGGATGTATGTATCCTTTTGCCTTCATTTCCCTGATTGGACAGTGCAAGAAAGGTCGTGGTGTAAAATTTATAGTAGAATCTCATATGTGGATGTCCTTGTGTTGAATTCCTTGAAATTTCACATCATTTAGTAGAATGTAGAATCGCCGGTTTTTATTATGTATAATGGAAGCTTCAGAGATCACTGTTGACTGTGATGAGGACGATCCTGACGCCACTTCCTTTGTTGCAAACATATCTGCAGAGAAGGAAAGGAAGAAAAAAGAAGCAAAAGGCACAACACCTGGTATAATATAAACTCTCATCCTCTCCCTCGAAACAATGTTTTTGTATCCTCAGCGTAATAGCCTGTTGATGCCAACCATTTTCAGGCAGAGGAGGCAGCACGTGAGTCAAGAAACTTAGCAAGAACGCTACGGTGAGACGGGGAGAAAAAGGATGAGTAACGTGAAGCACAGGAACGTTTGATGGTTGGTTCATGGATGTTATTCTCCAGTGTACGATTCGTATTTCTTACTGGGCTTGCTTTGATATAGAATTTGAATTTATGTTATAGGAAGAAGAAGCCCTGGCCAAGAATTTAAGGAGGAAGCTGCAGCATCAGATTTTGAGAAGTGGAAAGGAGAATAGGCGTCCTTCAATTACAAGATTTTTCTGGTATTGGGTGTCTTGAAAGACTAGCCAGTCAACTTTAGTGGAAAAAGGCAAACTTTTAGACCTTAACACCCTATGGATTTACTGATTTGGTTCAATTATGTTTTTCAGTTTCATGGAAGCTGAGACCACGTTATCCTGTGAGATCATAGTGTGTCAATCACCTCCCATATTTGGCCACTGGCCTTGCAAGCAGAACAATCGGGATCGTTATCATGGTTTCTCATTTTGGGTTGTTTCATTTCCCAACAGTTTCCTTGATAATGTCTTTTCCCTCAATCATTTTAGGCCAAGTCAAATTCCTAAACTCAGTCATCGTGAATGCTTTTCTTTGAAACTAAAATTCTTTAAACTCGGTCATCCCCATAAATGACAAAAGTGCACACGCCTCACTATTTTTGTTGTTCAGGAGTAACCCAAACTTCTTACTGAGATCAACAATCATGAAGTTAACTTTTTCCCTTTCAGTAGCCAGTAACATGGTTCAACTTGGTTCATGTTCTTACTGACGATTGAAATCTAGCTTTCTGTGGATGGTGCCTTGTATACTAGAGGTTACAGTTAGCTTAGGTAGTGTAGAAGCCATATAGCTAGACAAGTGAGATAATGTAGACATGATATATATAAAGTTCAATCTACTATTGTAAATTTTCTTATTAATAATTTTCATCGATTATGT